TTTATTGCATTGCTATATGTTTGTGGACCCTGTGGTGGCAAACGAATTTACCTGGTGCAATGGGGAATTCCTTTTCTTACATAGACAATGCCAAGAGATCGATTTTGAGAAATACTGAAATTTTTTGCATTTTGACATGAGAACAATAAGACAAACTTACCCTGGCATTGAAATTTGGAATGGCTTAATTGAAAACAGCACTGTGTGCTACAAACTAGGAGAGAACATTACTGTGGATGAGCAAATGTTTTCCACAAAAGCACGGAGTTGTTAGACACAATACATGGTAAACAAACAGGACAAATTTGTGATAAAGTTTTTGTTGGCCTTAGATGTTGCCTCAAAAGACATTCTGAAAGGTTTACCCTACCTGGTGATGAAACTTGCCCAGCTGGTCAGAGACTGACAGATAGTGTGGTAGTCACATTGATGGCACAGGACTTAGGAAAAGGGAAGAATTTGACTACAGGCAATTATTTTACTTCACTTGAATTGGCCCAAAGAAAGAGCCTAGTTGTAACAGTGAACAAATCAAGAAGAGATCTTCCACCATCTGCTCTCAACTTACAACCAAAGCTGTGTACCAGTACAATATTGAAACACTATAACTTTCCTACGTTGACTGTTTAAGTACAAGCCAAGGATGAATGTTTGCATTCTCAGCTTTCTTCACATGTCAGTTGGCGTTAAACCTACTGAGAAAAAAAGAAACAGACTCTACTTTTCTACAATCACAATAAGGAGTGGATGTTGCAGACCAAGTGGCATGTCAGTACTCAGTAAGCTTGTTTTCATCAGTAGCCAATTGCTATATTTTACAATGTCCTGGATGTGACAGACATCAATTCCTTTGTTTTGTATAAAAAATGCGCTAGAGAAAGTGTAAGTAGGTGGTATTTTATCTTGATGCTGGCCTCAGAGCTCTGACAAAAACACTTCTGAGAAAACTGCAAGGCACCAACCATCTCAGCCTGAATCCAGTGCTGTATCCAGTGAAACATGTAAAAGAAAATGATGCCAGGGTGCTAAATGCAATAAAAACAGAATGTCAGATAAATGTGCCCTGTGTGAAAGACTTGTGTGCGGTAAATGCACATCGAAAGTTGAAAAGAGTTTCACCTGCATGGATTGTGCCACTTAGATTAGTCTATAATGGGAGTCACATAAATCTTCTTAAGTTTTTTTATGATCATATACTGTTTAGAATAGTTCACTTACTAATTTGTGTTTAAAGTTTCCTATGTACATATTGCTGTTTATACCTGCTTACTAACCATTTTCTTTTGATTTTATTATAATATTTAAATTACTGAAGTGCTTTTTTTTTGCACCATTGTTCATTCTAATATGATGTTTCGGCTGTAGTTATATTTGATTTGATGTTCCAAAATAAAACTTTTGAGTTGTATGCAATAATTTGTCCTTCATTATAATACTAATGTTGTAATATGTAGCAGTCAAAGTGACAGCAGTATGGCAGTTCTAGGTATGAGTGAAACCCCAGTGGTTTTAGTATTAAACTATTTAGCTCATTTCTCATGAGTAAAAAGAGATTAATTCAATTATAAAATGTACTGTATTCTTGAAAAGAATTAATAGATACGTTTTATGTAAATCCAGTAGTGTAGCCTAACCTCCAGCATATACTTAACAAAAGGTGAGCTTTGTCTACTATGAAAAAACAACAATAACAACATGAATAACAATTTTATATTATTTTTTTATCTCATAGCTTTAAAGTTTCAGTTCTGCATTCTAAAAGTTAACCATAGCAAATTTTTACATTTAGAAATATCATCAACCTACTTTGATATTTTCAAATAATGTATTATTGTTAGTTTCATTATGTATACCAATTCTAATTGTTACATTAAACCCTTTTGTGATGATAATTATTTTTTTAAACAAACCATTAAACAGAATAAACATTTGCAGTGAACCCTCATTAGCCAAGACATAACAGCCTGGATTTTCCACAATTTGGATATTGTTTGATGTAGATAAACTTTCACAACAGGAAATTTAATCAATTATCTGTATAATTGTATTCTGAATGAGTAGGTTTTTATTATAATAGCATGCATTTTTTATGGTTACATAATTCAGTAATCTGTACATGACTCCATGAGAGTCGAGTAGGAGTCGATTAGCATGGGAAATAAAGTTTTAATTACTGACTGCAAAATAATTACACTCACAGTGGGTACCAGTTTATGACTTTGGGAACATACGTAAGAACTATAGACAGATATCGAGAAGACGAGTGATTTATGCTACAATCATATTCAAATCACAAAGCAAAGACACACAGCAATATCAGCAATAGTAAAATATTATTTTTTATACAAAGAAGCAATACATATACTATGCATTTTATAGTCTATAAGTAATTCATTGTTTGAAAAAAATGATTTAGTGAAGACAATGGCATAATATGTCACTTTTATTATGCAATTTGTATAATTATTGATGACATATAAAATGATGAACTGATAAGTTTATTTTACATATAGCTGTTTTTTTCACCAATTGGTTGTTCTTCCTTGCCAGTTTGCACCCATACATTTATTGATTGATAACACATGCTATTAATATGGTGTCCATTGCATTCAAAGTGATTGATTCAACTATCTGGATGTGTCTATAATCCAGAACTGATATATTAATGCATTCAAGATCACACCATAAAATTGAGAGCTGTTACTTATTGCAGTAAGTAGAAGATGATAACTTGCCACTTTGGTAAACAGCTGTAAATAAGTACTTAAAATTTAAGCATTCCATTCCATTAATATGCCTGAAATATGAATTTTTTAATATCAGTTTTTAGTCAAATATGTATTTACATACATGAGAATAATTAACATCTTGTAACAAATAGTTTAAATTATAAAAGATCAGGAAAATGGGACACTGTTATAGAAATACTTGCATTTCTCTGTCAAAACAGTTACACTATTCTGTGCTGCTTGCATATATAAAAAGGTTAATAATAGTACATTTTATTTTACAGCATAACTTTCAGTAAAAAACTTAGTAATAAATGCAGTGCTAATACATTTATATGTAGCAGATACTTACATCTTTATTTTGAGTTCAAATGCATAGTCCTTTTGCCACAGTTACTATTAACATCATCAGCCCTTCTCAACAAAATTAATAGTTAACTTCATGACATGCTAAAGTGGAAGTAAACATGTCTGATCTATAGATTTAAAAAAAACAGGAAATTAATAAAATTAACTTTTGGAGAAAGCTGAAGTTTTTCTATCACCACACACATACTTTTTTGACAGTGTTGCTTACTCAATACATTTAAACATAACTTCATGTCTGAGCATAACAGTGTGTACTAGATTCAACTTTCTGAAACTGCAGTTTCTTAGGTGGGCTTTCACATACTATATTTATGAAATTGCCACCTCAATATTTCATGACTAATTAAATTATTTGTAAATGGTTGAACAGTATTAACTGTTATGAAGTGACTTTTTAAAACAATTTTTGCATGACAATTTGGATCAAGTGTTTTCTCATTTATTCACTCTTTCACTTAAGCAGCTTTAGTGATTTTACTATTGTAAAAATAAATTTTGTACACAGTGTAATTAGACCATACATGTAGATTATGTTTGTATAAGATATGAAGGATAACACTAAACATTACCGCATTACTCTTTTATTCTTTTTTTTAAATAATTCTTTATAAAAAAGATGGAATGGTTTTTACACACAGAAACCATTTGGAAATATTTTCACCATCATGTTTTGTCTATAAAATGTTTGGTTATTGTTTTATATTCAAATATGTAATGAGCAAACATTGATAATTGTTTATCTACTGATGTTTAATGCAAATTGCTTTCTTGCTTCTGTATGTAGTGTAGCAGAGTGCATCCAGCTTATTCCACTACATTTGCCTACTGCTAGTCCAATAGTTTTAAACTATTAGTTTAGTTTAGTGATATAAAGTACATAGATACCTGTTAAGGTTTGATTGTACTGTAGCCAATCAGCCCATAGGCAAACTATAAATCTGTAGTGGGCCATTTGTGCATCTAAAGCTTCTATATGTTGTACAACAAAATTCTGCTGATGTAGATTCCAGTTCCGTAAATACTGTGCTAGTTTTTACTCTGTTTCAGATTCTAAAAATTAAGTCTAGTTTGGCTACTTTTTGCTGCTAACTACAGATATGTTTTAAAATAGTATTTACCATGCAAATTTTAGAACAGTAGTGAACTCCATCAATTAGCTGAAAATGTAAATATTGGAACATTATAGCAGAAATATTTTACAAACTGAATTACACTTGTTGTCCAGGTTGAAAGTAAGATAATCATAACCAGCTTTTGAAGTGTTATTTGGTAAATTGTACATTGTAATAGAATACGCACAAGTATCAGATTTTTAGGATCACAAAATGCTAGACATCAATACATGAATATTTATTTGTTGTGTATCTGTTATGAAGACTACCTGAACAAGCATTGCCTCACATTAACATTTTTTGGATGTGTTGTATTAAAACACTGTAAACATATCCTAGTCCTCTAGGTCCTTTTGTGTTGTTTCAATTTTGATAAAAATGGCCTCAGAATGATATTATATATTTTTATTTCTGCAAGTTATAGATGCAGGGAAGTCTGTTGATAAAAAAAAAAATACATGATGTATTGGTGTAATCAGTGCTTTTAGGGTGAACATGACATAAAGGATTAGTACTGCAGTATTGCTTTCTTGCTGTCACTAACTTGTAACTTCACTGAATTTTGCTTGGTATTGTCAGAAAAAATTTCTTTTATGGATTGGTTTAAAGTTCCCAGATATAATTTTATTATATATGCATAGAAAATTATTAAATATAAGTGTGTATTTTTTTAAAATAAAATTGTATTTTGATTTTTCTTAATAACTGCATTTGTTTTTCCAATTAAAAACCTATATTAACATTGTTATAATTCTAAGTCGTGTATTTGATATGTGGAATATCCTTCCAGATGATGGAGTTTCAACATTCTTGGGCAGAACCACTAATAAGACACCACCAACACCAGCCAAAGCTCTTTGACAAACCTCCGTTAATGGAAGAGTCTTCTCACCAAGAATCATTAGCAGGATCCAGAAAAATTCTTGTAAATCCACATTTCAGAGGTCCTCGTCCTCCAGTATCTGATAGTAAATTTCCTTTCTTTTACATCTAACATATATGCCATATATGTTCATAATATAATAGAGAGCTGCAGTAGATTTAACCCTATTTATATAGGCTTGGTAATTTTGACGGATAAATATGCATGTCATGGACATTTACATTCAAATTCAATTAAACAACTTAATTGCCAATGTATGTTAATAGACTTGGCATAAGAATGTAGGTTATTATTCAAATTTGCATATTATATAAGTTTTGGTGTTTAAGTTTCAAAAGGAAACATTTAAATAAGTTGTCAGTCTTCACTTTTCTGTATCATGTGACATTTCTTCAATCTGAATTGTCCATTATAGATGTTTTTTCTATCCCTGTACAGGCTTTTAAGTTTCCAATAAATTTCACACTTATAGGTCTTTCTGAGCTTAAAATGTCATCTTGTAGCTTCCAGTATTCTTGCTTTACTGAGATATAAGCAATAAAATGAAACTTATGCCATACCCCTTATGGCACAGCTTGTTTTTCCAAAATTGTCAGTAATTTTTATGACATTTGCTATAAGATTATTTCTAACCAACAGAAAGAAAATATTTAAATTTACTGAATGTGATGGGGCCTGAAGCTGTTGAGGTAATTGATTTTTAAAATTTACTGTCATTTTATTTTTTGCCAGTCTTGGAACACTGCTTGACTAGGTATTGAAATTATTTAACCTATTTGTAGCTTAACCAGAAAGCCATATAGAATTATATTAATTCTAGGACATTCTGTTTTATATGTGTGTCAGTATTTCATATTCTAAATTGCATGTTTGAATGTAAAGCCAAAAAATTCTGAGACTATTGTTACCAAGAAGTAGGCCTAGTATTTGATGTGGACTTTATCATATGAATACGAAAGCCTTAAAAAGAACAAGATTTTAGGTGTAAATACCAAATTTCTTGTTTTTTATGTATATTTTTTATTTCTTTTAGTTAATTAACTAAGATGTAAAAATTAGAAACTTGTTAGGTTAGATAAGAAGACTTGAATGAAATTAAATGAATAAAATACTCATCATAACACATGAAAATTCTGAGCATGATTGTCTATTTTGATGAGTGTGCTTGTAATTGGATCCTTTGTTTATACAAAGTTCTCTTGCATAATAAATAGCTTTCACAGTATTCAGAGAGAGTAAGAGCAACTCTAAAAAATAAAAACTAAATGAAAAATCTATTAGCTTTGGCTGTAAAAGTAAATATTGTGTAATTGTATGTGCAACCATTCTAGGAAGTAAAAAATGGTAATTTACATTTAATTCAAATTTTTGTTACATGGTGGTTACAAGGTTAGTCATATAGACTGTGCCTATATACAGTGTTAGGGTAAAGAAAATAACAAATGAAACATAAAACTTGGTATTCAGTTAGAACATTCTAGAGGTTATGCAAATGAATGATGAAAAAAAAAATATTGTTTTTTTATATTCTTAACATTAAAATCATCTTGGACTGATCCGGTAAAAGCTTTGGACACTTACAGATAAATCTTTAGTAAAAATGCTTAATTAATAAAATCTGATTTTTTGTGTACATTGTAATGTTTAGTAAAGTATGAAACCTTGATTACTAAAGAAAGGAACTACCAGTGGTAATAGGTATCTGTCTACAGTATATGGTATTCTTAAATATATGTATAAAATGATTTCAAAGTGCAGTGGCTGTCACATTTTCAAAATTTAAATAATTGAATTCATGTGTCCATTCTTCAAATGATAAGGTAGTGCCTGAAGGATGCTAGGTAGTCTGGGGTGTTTTAAGAAATTATTGTCTGTAAATAGGAGACTTGAGCTGTCCTTTAATAAGAGTCAGGAGACAAATAGAGAAAATAAAATACTATCTTCTGAAATAGAGGGTAGGTGGCAACTCCATTATGAAATTATTTTTTTTTTATGAATTGCTCTCCCTAAAAAAAATCTTTTAGAATTTTAATATCTAGATAAGTTTACTTCACAAGAAAAGGTAGAAACATGCAGGTTTATGAATGAAGTTATAAAACTAAATTCAGTTTTCTAGTGCACAAAGCTATAGATTTAAGAATGATTTAACAATTCATTTGACAATTATTTATTTATAAACTGTTGTATGCACTTTAAAAAAAGACAAAAGCATTATCATACTTAAACTTAATGTATAATTGTTTTAAATTTTTTAAAAGAAAGAATTAAACCATTTTAAATATGTCATCTTCAAAATTTTCAATTGCTACCATCTATTGTGACTAAATAAATACAGCTGCTTTTGTGATTTTTTATAAGTTAAATATTAATTATGTCTTTTGTGTCTGTAAACATTAAATGTAAGTAGAAAGCTTTTTCCAGATTGTAGGTTTAAGCTTGTCGAACTTGTTAGGTTTATAAGCAAAAACCTCTCTTACATTTCTATCTGCCACTGGTTAACGTCATTAAATTTTCAAATTAGTAAAGAAGCAAGTGTCTGTATAGTTAAAATCTTTACTGTGGTAGCTTCGAGACAATAGCTTTTTCACACCTGAGCATGTTAAGCAACATATTGTGAGTTATCTGTTTGAATAAAACATAAAATTTCATTGATGTGTTTCATAAAGAACCTTAAAAATTATAGCTATAGCCTCAGGGAAATTTTGTGAGTAAACATTTCATAGAGCAGATCATGTTAGGCCAGGTGCAAAAGGTGTTATGAGATACAAAAACAAAAACTGTACAGTGCTTGGAATATCTAAACTAAGATCTACTCTTTGATCAAAGAATACTAAACCACTGAGAACAGTTATGTGGATATAAATTTATTCACCAAATGTTCAGCTTTTTTTAAAATCTTGATTCATTTTTGGGTTTAACAGAAAGGTCAAAAACTGTGGTGTTGAGTAAAAAGCCTTTTTCTTCAATAAACGATATAGACAAAGGTAACATATTTTATTGATGCTACAAGTCTAAGGTTAAGTATGAAGCAAAATGAACCTGAGAAAACAAGGACTAATTTAAGCCTAATATTTTTCTCACAATAACACAGTAAACTGTTGATCCTTCTGTCTTGTGGCTTTTTTTGTATACTTGGTTATGTAGTCATTACAGTGTCTTTATTTCTTTATGTCTTGCTAAAGCAAGTGAACTTGTAGCAGAAAGCTGGTTATTATACTTATGTTTAAAGAGTGCATCCTGATGCATATATCTTACAAAAATAATCAGTTGCTCTGTATGATCAAATAGTTAGTACATGAAGATTGTACTTATGTATCTTGTGTTATGGATCATACATCTACAATATTGAAAGTGGATATACGAGATGTGTATATGTAAGATCATGAGAAATAAGATCAGAATTCCAATAATACTAAATTATTAGAGGAAATATCTACTTTTAACTGGAGTGGATCATCAATTAAAATTCTCACCAATATAGTTATAGAAAAGTTAATAGTTTAAGAAAATTAAATTGTTTATATGTTTCATTAGGGGCAAGTTTTACTTACAATTAACTATCCACTTCTGGTGAATGTAATACTATACAACTGTTGTATACCCTTGAAAATGACATGCGGGGTACGTCAAAACTAGTAGGGGTAATCATCTTTATATCTTGTAAATTTGTGTTTGTTCTTCGTTAATTAATTTGTGCTTACAAAGCTGTTAATCTTTACAACATTTGGAAACAGCACAATGTTAATTCTGAACAAAAAGATAATTGGTAAAATCACTAACATAAAATACTCATTTATAAAAAATAAATAAAATTCTACAGTTTTACAACTGATATGATCAGCTTAATTCGTATTTAAGTTGTCTATTTTATAAAAATTAGGAATGACATATTTGAAAATATATTTACTGTTGTAAAAGTGAAATTAAGAACTAAAAACAAATTTTAAACTTTAACAACTACTTGATGTAATAGGTCTCAGAGGACAAAAACTAAATTTTGTAGCTAGTAGTACACTAAACAATTTTTTTATATATATTTAAATGAATTCTTCATCATCATAAGAAATTTATGGCAGAAGTTTCTCTACTTGTTTTCCATGCCATTATAGAAAATGATAATTTTTCTTAACAACATTCCAAGATTTATAAAAACAAAGCCATCAAAACATTTTTAAAATATATATTGTAAAGATTTGTTAGTTTACAGGGCTGTATAATTTTTCCTTTTTTTAAATTGAATTTTGAGTTGCATGTTTGTTCACTAAGAAGTAATTTATATAAAAAGTTATTTGGAAGATAAAAGTTTCCTGCTTAAACAGTTAAAATAAACATACATTATTAACTTTTGGTATTTTAAAGACATCTATCCTATTAAACAACCAGTCTTGAAACTTAGTTTACTTTCATTTTCAGATAAACGAGCACCAGAAAATCGCCTGTTCTTATCAAGGACTGCAAGTCAATCAGTGATGCCATCACAACCCCAGTCTTTCTATCCACCATCACGTGTTGATAATATCCATCAAATAGAGAACAGACCTCCAACTTTTGAAAACTCCCCATTTTCCAATTCTGGATTTAACTTCTTCAGTCCCGAAAGACCTTTACCTTCTCGAGATCAAGTAATGAATGTCTATAATCAGGTTTGTATTATGTATTTTTAGTTTATCTTATGCTTGATTTTTATTAAACAAAATTTTAAACTATGAGTGTTACAGTTTTAAGTGCAATTTAAAAAAAATAAATGTTAAGACTTGAGTATTAAACCATTCTCTTCAACATTAAGTCTATTGCTAGTTTTGTTAGGAATTTAGTTTCAATAAGTGTGAAAAATTTACTAATGGTCTTTGTAGTAATTGTTCTTGGAAGGAGCTTTGAGTAGTTTAAAATAACTTTTTTAGAATCAAGGTATTGTTTGGATTAAGTAATCTTTTTTCTTAAATTCAACATTTTGTTTTAGAATTGTTTACCTGTTACTATATGTTTGGATTGCCTAGTTATGAAGAAAGATTCGAGTTGCATGATTTAATTTGCAAATCTACCTAGGATGGTTTTATTTTTATTTTATCTCATTTTTTTCTTTACTGATGCTAAATGAGTGTTAAAATACTGTTGGTGATGTATATGTGTCAATACTCACAGTACTAATTCATAATGTCACAAAAAATGTACTGTTATGCATAACTGTCATGTGGGTATTTAACTTATGCCTTTTGTGATAAGGTAAAAATGTTTTTTATGTCATGATAAATGTTTGTTGAATTTTTATACTTGCATCTTACAAGCTTGGATAAAAAGAACCTAGTAATTAATCATATGAAATTTAAAAACAAAGAGTTTCTACTCTGTGTAACTGTTTTACAAGTCACAGTCTGTCATAATTTAAAATATATAATGTGATTATTTGATTAAACACATGAGAAAAAAAATCCTTAAGTTAGGCTACTGTATTAGCATATGGATATTGTCAGAAATTGTTGACCAGACAACAATCCTGAATACAAGGCAGTATTCTTGTGCTATTGTAAACTTGCTAGAGCTTAATGTAAATGTTGTGCAAAAAAACAGCAATTTATAATTATTTGTTTCCCCTTCAGAAAGTTTTCATGCTATTATGTGAATTAAAAAAATACAGTCAGGTGTTTGGGCTGTTTTTATTGGAATTTACATATTTAATGATGTTGATGCAAAAAATGTGTATTGAAAGAAAATTTAAGCTGTTTTTTAAATATTGCTAGACTTCTCATTAGCTTATATTAAACCATAAATGTAAGTATATTTTCTACATACTATTGAAAGCAATAGCATAGTGATCTTTACATATTATGAAACTGTATTTCTTATATTTTGTGTTACCTTAATATCTGGTATTATTATTGGTTATCATTTTCACAGGGTATTGATAAAACCCTTGATTTTTATCATCATCAATAAAAAAATTAGATCAGGAAAATAATCTGTCTTTTCTTTTTGACATACTTTTCTCTTTAATACTTAAAGAATTCTGGACCACAGCAGCCACCACCTCATTCTTTACCAGCTTATCGTCTTCAAGGTCAGCCTCCACTTTTGTCCCAAGAGCAGTTTCACAGACCCCCACCTACACAGTTTCAAACCCAGGCACCACCACCATCTCACCATGCTGACCTCCTTTCTTCAAACACCTTTCAGGTTAATATTTTCTACTTAATGTTTGCTTTTGGATTAATAGATTTGTAGATGTTAATCAGGGATTGATAACTAGACTTTGTTATTAACAAGGCTGTTTGGACTTGATTGAAAAAACAAACAAACAATGAATACAAATACAATACTAAACCTTTGCTGTAACCTTCAGCTAATTACTTTTGGTTGTTGCTAAAGGATAAACCTCATTTCTCCACTTCCAACTGAATTTACCCCCACATACAAAATATTGCATTTTTTTTTCTGTATTCAAAATAACTAGATATAGATATTTTCACTTGATTATGGCCCTCTGTTGTTTATACTCATAGACCAATCACCTATTATTTGGTACTACTTCTATCTGAACGTTACCTGAGTATTTTTTTTTATCATATATATATATTACATTTTCTTCCTGAAACTTTGTTGTGTCACCTGTATTGTGTCTTGGAAGATCAGAATTTACTTTGAATTAGTTTATATTTGTTCTTGTTTCTTGAAATAATTTGGAATTATAATTTTGTAATTTTTATGATATTAATCCTCTTCCTGAAAATTAACCTCAAGATATTAAAAACTTCTCAAACATCCATAATTTCTTTTTATGATGTTAAATGTTTGATTGAAGATTCTTCTTCATGTGTTATCACATGCTTTCAAAATGTTGAATCTGGTTATGTTCCTCAAAGTCGTTTTTCTGTTGTTTTATTGCTTTGTTTGTGTGTGAGGCTAGCTTTGAGGAGTTTGACAATGCTTTTAATCTTGAATTTGTGGTGTAGTTTATGATTTATTGTCTAAATCTTTCTCCTCAATTTATTATTTTTTTGCATAGGAATTGGGATTCAAACTGTTTCTACTGCAATCTCTCATGGTTCACTTGGCCATCGTAGTTTGCAGTCTTCCTTCTCTATTCTTTCCTCTTCCAGTTTTTATGCTGCAGTTTTGAGGTGTTTGACTGATTCTAGTGATTTTCTTACTTCCTGTTGTTGTGAATACCACTTCTTCAATCCCCTTCTTTCAGCAGATATTTATCTTTCTAGGCATTGTTTTTCTCATTAAATTATGGACTGGATTACAATTGGCAGTTTTTCTTTTTGTGTCAGAGTAAGTTTTTTTTATGATATACTTTTGGATTTGAACAAAATGTTTATTTCTCTTGCTGACTTATTTCTATTATTGTATTTCCTCAAGCCATTCGGCACTCAGTGTTATCCTCTGGCTTTTATAACTGAATATTTATCTATTTAACGTGTTTTGTTGCTTTTTTTATTTCAACTGAGAGCTTCTTGTCTCCATTCTCATTCTCCTCCATCCTATGATGCTACTGCCAGGAGTAACTGAACTGTCTGCTGCATCTTTTGTAAAAATGATTGTAATTTTTTTTATTGTGGGTGCAGACTTATTGTTAACTCGTCATATTCCTGATAAAGCATAGATTGGTAATACTTCATTTTTATGTTAACCCTCTCTATATTGGCTAATCTTGCAATCACCATCTATCCATGAGATTTTCTATACTATAACTTTTAGTAAGTGTTTCTTCACAAAAGTTGGCAATCTTTTAGTAAACATTACGATCTTTTGTACACAAAAAAGCTTACTTTTAATTAAAAAATTTTATGTCTGAGTGGAAGGTGATTTTCATGTTAAGATTAAAAATACTTTTTTGGTCTTACAGTTTTTAACTTTCATTTTCATAATTCTGAAACCTTATAAATGGATAGCATATGTTATTTTCAGTAAAACTTTGCATTTTATTTTTGTTATCTTTTTATTCCTAATACTATATTGACTCTCTTCATTTGATTGACTTTGTGACCACCACAAAAAAAATTAAATAAATTTAATTAACCCCTTTTTTTTCTTTCTAGAATGACTGCAGATTATAACAGAAAATTACTTTTATGTATTCTAAACAATCTTAGGTTCATAACAGTTTACATCTGTTTTCATTTAATCACTTCATTGTTCTTTGAACTGTGTCTTAACTACTAACCTGCATAACAAAACAAGAAGTTACCCAATGACCACTTGATCAAATTACAGTTACAAAATATTGAACTACATAAAGCATGTGCATACTTCACTGAGAATTTTTTATTTGGTTTTCTGTTTAACTTATGTTTTCTTAGCTACTAACTTTCTAATTTTTACATTGTAGTTGCTTTTATAACAATAAATGAAAATTATACATAAAAAAACAAGAAATTTAATACTTACTTATGAGTCTTGTACTTTTTTTGCACTCAAAGTCTATAAAAGTTGCCCTACTTTACTGAATTTTTATTTATTTCAACCATTCAGTTTAGAACACAAAATAATAACATGTCCAAAGAATACAATGTCTTACAACTATTATAATTTATCTTACTTTCTAAGTAAGCTATTCATTAAAATAATTTACTTACCATATTCAAGGCAAACTCGATGATAGCAACTTTGAATCTGTAGCTCAAATAATTAGAAAGCTATCATTAGAATGAGCTAGCATTATACATCATTCAGCAAATTAAAACCTATTTCTGTTGGTTATATATAACATAATAGCAAATGTCAAAAACAGTTATCAACAATTTTTGAAAGACTATATGGTACGAGTGTATGGTATGTGAGCTTCATTTCCTGATTTGAATCTGTATAAATAAAATGATTAGAAATTATTAATTTAAATTATGTCACAGTATTATCTATTCTGTAACTATGTAACTTGTATTAAAATTCAGAAGCTTATATTGGGGTAGAAGAAATGTTTAGATGAGCAGTTTAGAGCAAACAAGTGTCACATGATACATAGAAATGAAGATTGAAAAATTATTTGAATATTTTCTTTTGAAATTAAGAAATAAAACTTAAAATTTGATTTATTATCTACATTTTAATGCCATGCTTATTGGTATTAATTGATAGTGAATTTTAAAGAAGTTTTGAATGTAACTCTGAAAAAGTTTGTGATATGTGAATTTTTACCTGCCCTTATCCTTAAGGTTAAAATGAACAAGCATTCTCTGACCACATTGTGTTTCAGTGCTGCAAGTAATTGTTTTCTGTATTGAGTAATCACTCCCAGAATTTTGTCAGTGGGACTAATTGAATTTTCTGCAGTAACATTTTGTGATAAAAGTAATTTAACTAATTATGAATTATTATTTCAAAAGGTGAAATTTGGCACAAGATTAACTTAGCAAATTAAATCACCAGATGTAGTCATAACAAACACAAATAATGACATTACAACTTTTTCTTATTTTTTAAACAAAATTGGATCATTCACGAGTGCGCTGCACCAATAGAAACTTCTGTCTGTTAGAGAGCACTTATTTTTGCAACTCAACTGTGTAAATTGCACAGATCTTATGCAGAACTGCCGAAAACTACACGAATCTACCCATTATTTAATTACTATACTACTGTTAAAGGAGGAGATGTATTCATTTTTCCATGGCTGTAAAACAACTTCTCAGTATTTTTTTAATGCTGTAAATGGCTAATTTTTGTTTGGGAATCATGCTGGAGCACTGTATTTGTTTGGTATTATTTTACTTTAATGAGTATCAGGTATCAGAATCTTGGATATAAGACTAATGATTTTTGTTAACTCTTCATGTATAGGCTTGGCCATTTCGACTGACTTTTGTAACCACCTAGTAAACCATGAAAGTAGACATACTATAACTTTTAATGTAATAAGTGTACCTTCACAAAATTTGACAAGGCTTTAGCATTACAAGTGTTTTGTACACGAAAAAACTCATTTTTTTTAATAAAGTATTTTTACTAAAGATTTGTTTAATAATTTGAGTTTGAGTTCAAGGTGATTTTCTTGTTAGGATTCAAAATGCTTTTTCCCCATCTACAGTTTTCATATTTCATTTGCATAACCTCTAGGACTTCCTAAATGAATGTCAAACGTTTTTCTTTCAGTAAAACTTTATATTTTATCTGTAATTTTCTCTACCTTATCACTACATGAAGTTGGTCCATTCAATCAACCTTGCAACTACTAAAAAGAATCTCTCTATATATATAATAGTAAAATGTCTGTCTGTGTATCACACTATTTTTCTCCTGAATGATTATTTTCAGAAAAAATTATATATCAAAATTCTTCTTTTCAAGAGTACGTTACAGGAAAATTATTAATTTTTTTGCAATTCCTAAAATTTCATACCAATATCAATGTCAATCTGTTGGTCTTCATATGTGCTTGAACAGTCAATCTGAGAAAAATCTTTGTAACAAGCTTTAAAAAACATGGTGAACACGTAGCTTAAGTTAGGGTATTTGAATTACTTTATGTATGTACATCTCATTTGCAGACCTCACTGTGTGTTTTTAACTTTTTTATTTATTTTTCCTTACTTAATGTAATAGGTTTCTAATTTTTACATTTTAATTACTCTTATAACAATGGAGAAAAACATACTTAAAAACCAGAAATTTAGTATTTGTATCTGGCCTTTTGTTTTTTTGCTCCCATTCCCCAACAAAACTTAACACTATTTTTTGTAACAGTGGTAGTACTTAAAATTTTTTTTTCATTGTAATAACCTACACAAAACATACAAAGTTTTGTGACTATTATAATTTAACTGACTTTCTAATTAAGATAAAAATATCTTAAACTAATTTACATATATGGTCAATGTGAACTCAGTGATGTAACAATGAATTTGTAGGCCAAATATTTCAAATACTGTTGTTAGAAAGAGTTAGACTTGTAAAAAAAATAGGTAAATCCAAATCTTTTTCTTTCTTTTAATTTAGTACCCGATATGCTTTTTTTGTGTGTTATAAAATGTATATTTAAAAGGCACATTATTATTATTTTTTCTATTGGAACACAAACTTAGTGAAAAAGTGAGTCCTAGTAGTTTTACCTAAAAATACAAACCTCATGCTCAAAGTATGCAAGATGTATGCAGTATACAGAAAACTGCTAATTGGACTATTCAGAGATAGATAAATTGCAACTTAAGTAATGTATATGGGGAATGTTATAATGCAGGGATATGAGAAGTTAAAATACTTTAAATAGCCTGTTAATTACATGATGAAAATACTACCAATTTCCAGACCTTTCAGATCCTAGCCATCTTCATCATCAGTGGTAAGTCTTCAAATTTACAATGCTAAAATCAGAGGTTTGATTCCCCTCGGTGGACATAGCAGATAGCCTGATGTGACTTTGCTATAAAAACACACACATGCATCTGTATCATAGGAGTACAAATTTTGTTTGTCCTACTTGGGAAATCCTAAACCTACCCTGATTAAAACTTGTTTCTGCAATATGTTTGTTTCTTTTGGTGTGGTTCACCTACACATCTGTCAGTATGCTTTACCTTACTGTGACTTTTTGATCCAGGATATATCAATCTTACTTGAAGCTCCTCAATGTGTCATTAAATGTTTTATATACCTTAAAAAGTGTGGCTGGGTGTGGCCCAGTGGCTATAGCATCTAGACTGTGAATCTGAAAACTTGTGGTTCATGACCTATTGCCTCAAAAACATGCTCCTCACTTTGGAGCTGTGGATGCAAATCCAAAAGCTAGTGGTGGATGCTGTTGACTATCTGCCTTCTCTTTAGTCTATCAGTTCATAATTAGAGATGTCTATGCATGTAACCCTTGTGTAGCTTTATATGATTTTCTGAAATAAACAAACTTTACAAATTATATCTGTTAGTTTCCAAGTTGTTTCAAATAAGGGTGAGAAGCATGTACTTAACACCTAGAGATGTGTTAAGAAAATTATACTTACTTTGCTCAAGAGAATATATCATAGTAATCTGTAAAGTAACTTATTCATGAGTGACAAAACAAATATGCATAAAGCTGTTTAGTGGTATATATCTTGTAAGTGCTATGTGCATACTGGTTTTTATCTTCATAGAAATGAATAAAAACCCTATAATCCGAGCTCTTTCAAAAGGTGTACCTTTCTTCTTCAGGGGCAAACTGGGCTTTTATCTGGTTTTTATCTTGTATAAAAACCAACTAGTTTTATATATGAAATGGGCTTATGTAGATGAATATCTGTGTGTCAGACTAATTATTTATAAATTTTACTGCATACACATTTTGTATTTTGAGAATTTCATGCTGATTTTGACCTCAGAATTTGTTATATGTGTGTTTTGAAAGAAATGTTAAACCAAAATTTAAGCTGTAAAATATGTATCAGTTCATTTATTTCTTGTTTTGCTTAAATATTTTATCATCTTTAGCCTCCTAGTTCTGACAGATGGCAGCACCATTCTGGTCCATCATCTGGAGCACCTACTTCTGGTCCAGGTAAGGTATTTTGAATTTTCTTTTTAGTAAACACATTGTATGCTTAGTTAAAAAGAAGATATAATTTTTAACTCTTTTCAGACTGAGGGGATTATCACTGATTCTTTTTCTAAAGAAAATTGTATGAAACATGAAACGTTGTTACTTTGGTTTAAAAAAAACACATTATTTGATTTTTTATACCATTTTTTTTATTATGTTAGGAACTTTCTCAACTTTTGTAACAAAACGTTAAAGAGTATTTCTTTTCATTTTAGAATTCCAGTTTTACATATCAATTTAGTTGACTGATATTCATTAATTTATTTCTTTGACACTTTATTTTAGCCAATTGCAGTAGTCATCACTTTTAGCTATAGATTATAAATAACACCACAGATAATGACAAAGGTTTATCGATGACCTAGCACCTAACCTTTCAAAATGGTGTAGTGTCAGACTAGGTAACGGTATTTTTGCTAACAGTATTCTTGATCAAGATCAATTTATATCTAATAAATATAGTTTCTTTTCAATAAATTATAAGTTCTTTTATTTATGTAGGTTATTTGAATAGGATAAACTGGTGTCATGCCATAGAAGAAAATTTCTTTAGCTTTCAGAAAATATAATTTCACATGAAATAATTTCCAAAACCAGGAGAATATCAAAAGAAATTGTAAATACAAATTCAAGGGGTTCTGGTTTGTTACATTTCTTGTAAAATACCTATTAGATCCTATTGTTCTACTCTACATGAGTTGTATCTAATCATTTCCCCATGAAACCATATAAAGCTGCTTATTGCACCACTTTATTCAGTCTATATTGACATAAATAGTTTATAATCTGCTATATTCAATGGTATTTTAACTTTTAGCTATGATATTATTAAGTTTTAAAAGTACTGTCAAATATTTCACTGGTAATAGTGTATAAAGAAAAACTATAACTGAAATCTTCAGATTTATGATTATGTTGTGATGTATATTTTATTAACATTTATTTTGAATAAAGTAATAAAAAAATCTAAACTGCTGTGATATTTTCAGATAGCACTGATTTCCCTTAAGAGTTACAAGGTAGATCATCAGAATAACAGGGGATTCATCAACACATTAACTGTGAAATAATTCCGTATTCTCTAACTAACTGAGCTCATGGGAAATTGAAGAGCTTGAAAATCACAAAATCTCTAATAATACAGACACATTGAAAGTGTACTTTACTTGCTACAACACAGTTGCCTTTACTGAAGAGGTAACTTTAAGGTTCTTTCTTTCTTTCTTGAGTTGTTTCAAGCTTATTCAGTGAGATCTTGTACCAGACTATCTAAACGTCATATAATTTATTGAAGTCGGTAATGTCAGATTTACCAAGAGCGACTAGCACTATCGACATTGCTGACCTTCCCCATTGAAACCTGGTTGACAGTGGAAAAGACAGCTATCTAACTTCATATGACCTTGCAGTTATCTTTCCCATGGAAATACAAGACAAACAACACAGAACAATAAACAGTTAAAGCAACAGCAACTTAACAATTTTCTTCACCAAAGTATTATGTTTAAATTGCACATTAAGGTGACTCTTATTCAGGATGGTTAAAATTGAAAATAGTGATTTCTTTTTGGGCACTCGAAACTTTTCTGAAGATTAATCATAAATTAACAAAATTTAAGAGAATCAAAGCATGTTAAGGTGTTGCTACCAGCCCTTGAAGTTTCTCATCCTGTGATACTGTGCTTTATAGTGTGTATCATACTTACAGTGAGCTACCCAGTCAAACAAAAAGCTACATATGTGATGCAAATCTTTATGAAATATTCAAGAAAAAGGAAGAAAAAAATTATTACAAACAAATTTACTCTAGAACCATAGAAAAATTAATTGCTTGAAGTTGCCAGTATACTCCCATATTTCAGAATCAAGCAACATTCACTTGTACAGATTTCATGATGGTGCTCTTCTTTGCCTCAGAAAATTTCTTCCAGTACTTCTTAAACTACCAAAGAAGATAATGTTTTAAGTCCTTATCTGTGGTGTGATGCCAACAGTATTTTTCCATGAGGGCCAGACATCTTTCCATGGTGTCATTGATGATCAGGAGCTGATTACATGTTTCTTTGCCTTTCATGAACTTTTTGTCTTGTTCCTGTTGGCCTGGATCTTTGGAGAGGAAGGAATCTAATTTGATGCCCAAGATTTTGAAAAACTGGAGGATATTGGCTGTGACAAAGTTCTCCAGGACTTTAGTTTTTGGTCTCCAAGTCCTTCTCTTTGACTGTTGCTCTGTCCTGCTGATTCTCATTCCCATGGTTTTTAAGAGCTTGAACCATACATTGCTTGGTTTCCGTAGACTTGTTGTCATCAGAGAAAGTGAGAGTGACAAGCTCCTCAAACAAATACCACAGTTATTGAATGAAATTTATCAGTGTGGTGTTGGCCACCTGTGGATCTGAGGTCTTGTAAGCTTGAAAAGCCTGGTTGAGCTGCAGATCATTCCTTGGAGCAGAAAATGAGAAGAGGTTTTCGTACCATGTTTTGATGTAAATGGTGGACATGAATATTTAAATTCTTCTCATTGCTGCCTTCTCTTTGAGTGTGAAGTTAAACTGGCCTTTGAACATGTAGACTTTAAAAGTATAAATGGCGAGATGCATCATTCCTGTAGCCATCATTCAAACTATCTTAAAGCAGAAACCCTCCAAGAAATATTGTTACAAACTCAAAGAATTCCATATAGTCATCTCTAGTTTGCTGAGTCTAGAGTATTTCATTAACAAACATAAGAATATTATCATATACATCTGATACAGCAGAAGCCATGGTGTTGTTATTCATCACAGTCTGCAATCTTTCCATGTTCAGGAATCCCCATTTCTCCCCAAAAGTGCTTGAAGAGTAAGATGTCTAGACCAGTTGATGTCTCCATGCAAATTGAGAAGACTACTTTTGGTATCAGCATGAAAATGTGATACCTGCAGGTGAAGTGGAGCAAGCTTTAATTCTTCTCAAGAATATTTATGTTCCTAGTGTTTGATGCAGTGGTGTTGAAGCACGTTCCCTGGACCTTATTTTAAATTTTTTAGAATCAGACTGCCTTTTCCAGTCTGTTGTCCATTTTCAAACCAGTTTCATTTCTGGGGCTCCCAGAAGTTGTTCTTTTCCTACTCCAAACACAAGAATCAGGGGGTCAATCTACAGTCCAGTTCCCAGTCATTTCTGGAAGCAGTTTTCCATACCACTGGACAGTCAAGGAATGGATCAGACTGAATGATTCCTTGATTATCCATGCAGTTTCCTTCCAGAGTTTCACTCACTGCCTCTGAATCAATCACTGTACAGCTCAAACTCAAATCTGAGATGTCATGATCCAAAGTATCTGTGGCTGAAGTCAAGAGAAAAGAGGCTTTTTTGGTCACTGACTTTGGTGCAGTCTAGTTTTGTTGCCAATCAATGACTGAGAATGGTTGCTCAAACATCTTTTAGTCACAGATGATGTAGATATGGATGGCCCAGGAATAGCAAAGTCGTCATCGATGGTTAGAGTAGCAGTCCCATCAGTACTGGATGAGCTTGTCCATGGCTCATCTACATCTTCTTTCTGATGCTGTTTGGTGTATCATTGTTGTACTTCTTCTTTCTGTTTCCTCTCTGACCAAAGTGATGTTCACAGATCCCATTTTACTTTGACATCCCTTCTCTCCATGTCTTGTCCTGGGTGATATTGAAAAGATCATCCAAATTTTCTTTGAAGTTCTCCTTCTTCACTTTCAGGATGTTGACCTTTTTCTTGTATTTTCTTTGTGTTCGTAAGTTTTATTCACTCACTAAAGAGTTTCTTGACCCTGAAGACTATGTGCTTCTTGAGCCGAACAGGAATCCTGACTGCCCCACACCTCCATAATTGCATCTGTGACAGATGAGGAATTTGAATGTTTGTTTGTTTGTTATGAATTTCGCGCAAAGCTACACAAGGGCTATTTGCGCTAGCCGTCCCTAATTTAACAGTGTAAGACTAGAGGGAAGGCAGCTAGTCATCACCACCCACCGCCAACTCTTGGGCTACTCTTTTACCCACGGCTGAAAGGGCGAGCATGTTTGGTGTGACAGGGATTTGAACCCGCGACCCTCAGATTGCGAGTCGAGTGCCTTAACCACCTGGCCATGCCGGGCCCGGAATTTGAATGAACCTTCTCTTTGGGATGGAAGCTTTGTTCCAGTGAACTGGGCCTGGCAGGGGCCTACAGGCCAAATATCAGTGGCCTTTCGAGTCTGCTTAGAACTAGTCATTATACAGGAATATACTGATTTTTGGATTCATGAACTGAAGAAAGCATAGTAGAGCATAGCATCAAGAGAGCATGAAGTAAAACATGAAGTCTTGATATAAACTTCTAATTTTGAATGTTTTTTGGTAAAAATTGGTCCTGATTAGTTTTCACCAATTCTCTCAAAACCCCGAGGTAACCTACTAAGTTTTGAAATATGGGCCACATTTACACCTGCTCAAATAATCAATTTAAATCCTATATTAATATAAGGAAATAGAAAATGCATAGTATGCTTATGTACCACACTGTTAACCCTATTTCAGATTTTTGTAAATATTTTTTGGGAATATTTAAATTTCCTGCTTGTGTGGATAAAACTTATGAAGATACAAAACAAAACTTTAGATATATATGTTTTATACATACTTGTGTTTTTTTTATCTAAAATAGTTTGAAAACTGTAAATATATATTTTAAGTTACTAGTGTAAAAAATAGTCAAACTGTTTCATGACCACAAGTTTTAATAATCTAATTATATCATGGTTTTATATTTTTTATTATGCTACGTATAGGTAACAAGTTAAATCTTTGCTTGCATGTTTATTTTGTTGAAGTAATAACTTTTTCCATTCCTTTTTTTTTTGCTTTTCAAAAAGTTTTGTAACTTGAAGCTAATGGTGTCTTTCTTTGAACTTCGCCATAGTACAAGTTTATAGTTCAGGGGAGGTCTTCTTTTGTTTTTCAACAGCTGTACATAAGTTTTAAAAGAATTACATAGGTAACTTTTATAAGTAAGATAAGCGAGATAAAGAATATTTACTTAGTTTAAAAATATTCAAGACATTTTGTTGAAAAATTTCTTTCAAAAATTGTTCTAGAATATGATGTCATTAGGCATATGATTTTATTTTACTTGTTTGTAATAAAGAGTGTGTGAAACATGGTTTATATGTCAACAGTAATGAGTGTGTTACATAATGCCGCATTATACAATTATGTCATATAATGGTTTTCATGTCATTATAAATTGCAAAAATTTGTCAAAGAAAATTTAACTGAGGCTCAGAAACATTTAATAATTTTCATGCTTTGTGTTTCAAGTGTCTGCATTTCAAATATCATGTCATTTTTGAGTTACTGATTTGTATAATTCAAATACAGAAGTAGTCAAACTGAGAAGTGTTAAAACTGATACCATCAGATGCATTATTAATAATTAAAATTATTTGTTGTACTAACCTTTGCAACATTTTCATGTGAATTGAGTTTCTTAAATTTACCCATCAAAATATATGTGAAATTTGAGTTAACACTGACATTATTATGCTTATTTTTGACAAATGTGTATATGTGTGTGTTTCTATATACAAACCTGTTAAATTAATTATATTTTTTTTACTAGTATCAATTATTCAAAATTGATTATTAATTCATTATATTTTTCTGATAGTTTTTATTTTTAAAGTAAGAATAAAGGAAGATTTATTTCAAGATTTTTAATAATTTATTGTCATGTAATTTGATTATATGTAATGAAAATTTCATTTAAAGATATTTATAGATGTGCTCGATGAATTTTGTTTTTGTCCCCCTATGGGTCAACACTAACTTTGGAAACTTAATATGTTAAAAAATCTATGGTTAGATCCCTTGTGGTGGACAGAATGCCGATAGCGCAATGTATAGCTTTGCACTAAAGAGAAAAACAACAGTTTTTCCTTTGTTTTTTTTTAATATAAATTTGTAATCGATGAAGTTAGAAGTATTTTAAGATTTATACTGATATTGGATAAAGTACTGTAAGTAAATTGCAAGTATTTCTATGACAGGTATTTTTGGTTACATTCTCTGCAGGCTCAAGAATTTCTGTTGGTCTGCTGCCTGGATTTCCTAGGAACGAGTTTCGTATCCTACCATTGCATCAACTTCCTCCTAGGCTCTCTCCTTTTCCTCCCACAAACCAGCCTCCTCCAGTGCAAAATCGTTTTCAGTTTAATCTTCAACAGCCTCCACCCTTCTCACCTTCTCGCCCAACATCTTCAGTGATTGAGCCAAGAGTTCCCATGTTACAGCAGCCAGCCATTAACCACCCTCCTCCCTTCCATAGTCAACAGAGACCACAGTCAACTCATACAGGCATTTTCTCACCGTCTCATCAGGTTTGTATTTTTATTCATTGATCTCAATGTGAAAAGTTAATATAAAATTTGCTGATAGCTTATTTTAAAAATTAAATCAAAATATTGTATAAAGTGAGTTATAAAAGGTAATTGTTAAATGTAAACAATCCATAACCAGTTTATATAAGTAGTACTTAAAGAAAATATTAAAATGTTAATTTGTTATAATTTAATGTGCAGAAGTTTCAAATAAAATTGGTGTAGCCCAATGAAAAATACATAGCAAAACAAAATAAAAAAAGTCAACCAATCCAAAATGTATTAACAAATTTATATTAGCCTAAAAATAAGAAAACAGAAGCTAAAATTTAGCAGTTTAGTTTATAAATTTAGCCTTGTTTGTTAGTTTTTCCTCATTTATCTACTTTTTTTATTTTTATTGTAATACTTATTTCATTGATTCATTTTAAATTAATTTTATTTTCTTATATTAATAATTTGTTTAAATTTGAGAGATTTTGTAATATGTTTGTTTGATAAAATACCCAAATAGCACAGTTACGTTGTAAACACAAAATATTAATTTTTTTAATTAAGTATTTGAATTAAAGATTTGCTCATGAATTTTTGCTTTGGGAATGTTGACTATCCAACATGCAAAGTTTGGCCCGGCATGGCCAAGTGGTTAGGGCGCTCGACTCGCAATCTGAGGGTCGCGGGTTCGAATCCCCGTCCCACTAAAC